GGGGGGGCGGGGGGGGGACGAACACCAACAAATGTTTTGTCATTGCCTTTAATGGGATCAAAGGTTGTTCTGAAGTTGTGGAAGAAACTCCCAAGGGAAGTTGTGGCAGCAGCATTTCTTGGATACTCTGAGCAGAGTACTGGAGAAAGGTGATAAGTTCTGATCCCGCAGAGATCAGTAGGCACAGAGGGCTGAGATGACTTTTCAAAAGGCCATACCCACAGTCATGGCAGAACAAGACTGAAGCCTTGAGCAGCAGATTTCTAGTCCCACGTTCACGGCAATAGAAGGATTCTAGTAGGATGGCAACCAACCATTCAAGTTGAATTGCAGCTTTTAGACACCATCTAGAATTCAGTCTCTCAAAAGCTTTTCTAGTACCAGGACATTGGGGGAGGGGGGGTAGTAAACAAACCAAAAACAACAGTACCACAAAAATAGCCCCCAGCAGGTCTATTTTGCCCTAAGCACCAGGAGGACAGAACATTGTTCGGCAGTAAAGGGAAGGTGAATGAAGAGGATGATTTGAACATTTTCCAGTCCATTATAAAGGTTCGGCAGGAGTTCAGGATGAAGCCTTGGTCCATTTGTCATTCATTTTGATGGAACACTATAGTAGGGACAAAGATGCTTTAAAAATAAGTGTCTTCACTTCTTGATGCCACATTTCCCATAGGTTCCTTGACAGCGATGTAGCAGTTGGAGACAGGGCTTCGTTCCATTGGCATTCACCCTCCATATATACCCAGAAGACCCTTAAAATGTCTCCAATAGACAGGAAGCTGCTCAACCCTCAGAGTTTGAGACCGGGTGCCTGTACACGAGCACAGAGGCTGCTCCAACACACTATAATTGCAGCACATTGGAGCAGACTCAATTAACCGAGTCTGCTGGAGCGTAGCAATTACCATGGTGTCTCATGCATCAGCATCCCTGTGCTTCTGAACAGTGACGGGGGTGCTTGAACTAAAGCTCAGTGATAAGTCTTGTTGCTGCCACTTTGCTCTGTATGTTTGGACAAAACACTAAAAACTGGAGCCAACAGAGAGATCAGAAGAACAGGCCTAGCAGCCACCAACCAGCTTTGTCAAATGCCTCCAAGATCTACAGCCTTAAGGGCACCATAAAAACCTATGAGGAGTCTTACTATTGACCAACCTTGCTTTCAGATAGCCCATCAGGCCACAGTGAGCACCAATGATCAGAGTTATTTTCTCTACTAAAGGAAGTTTGCAGCCTGAAGTTTTCATGGAAGTTTCACATTTGTAGAGAAATGCTGTTCTCAAAACTACCCAAGTCCAAGGGCCCTTCCCTTCCAGGCACCAATGATGCTTTTGCCTATACGGTCTTCTTCAGATAGTAATAAAAAAAAAACCACACACAACACCCTTTCCAGAAGAGGGCATGAAGACTCCTAGGAGGATCTGATGGTCGAGTCCCTGCAGAAGGGGCTCGAGACCAAGGTTAAAAAGCCCCACACAACCCAAGGCAAGACACTTATTCCCACCATGACTCAATTCTCTCCCCCCACCCCACCCCTGTTTTGTCCACTTGAACTGCAAGATATTTAAGGTAAGCCCCACCTCTGTTTGTGCAGCACCCAGCACAGAGCTATCATGGTTGGGGAACACTATACAAGCAACAGTATTTGGTGCACCTTACCTCCCCCTATTGGCAGCCTCTTCAGCATGGAGCTGCTTCTCAGGTCTATGACAGGTGGCTCACCATAGTCTTCCACCAAGCTGCTGATCCCCTTGTGCTTCCCAGCCTGAGGCAAGGAGCAAGACCAGCCAGGTTGAGAGGCCGTCAAGCATGCCATGTGAGGGACCAGAATCAATCCAACCCCTCCTCTGTCCTCTCCCTCAGCAGGGAGAGTCTAGGGGTTTGGACCTGGATGAGGAGGGCATGTCCGAGAGCTGGTAAATACTCAGCAGGACAGATGTCAGGAGCTGAAGCCAGCTTCTCTTCAGCTGGTGGCTACAAGCTGTCAGCTGGAGGGGAAAGACCTTGGAAGGAAGGAAGACCAGAGGGGGGGTGGGAAATAAAGAGGGGAAGGAAAGGAAAAGGGAGAAATAGACCAGATGAGGAAGGTAGACAGAATAGAAAATAATAAACTTTTAAAACCAAATCCAAGATGCCTCAGTGGTTGGGTCATCCAAGCCCGAGACATCATCTTGGAAGGAATCCATTTGCCCTCCAACCCTCTGGCCAAGCCACGGTGTACAATGGTTTTAAAAATCGAGTTGCTAAAAATAACAGTGCCCAAAATTGTTAGTCACTTTTGCAAGTAGAAAGTGGGAAGTCATTATGCCTGGAGTGTGAGCATCTGCCAGACTCTTGCTCCATCAAGTAGGCCACTAACATTTGAAAGCATACAATCACAGAACAGGTTGCAGGTGACAGAAAACAGCCATGTAGTGACAATATGTCCACCTAGCTCATTTTAAAAATCAGCAGATCTCAAAAGGGCTTAAACAAACAGAGGTTGATCAGGCTCAATATCCCCATTTTAAGAGAGGTAGAGAAACAAGCGCAGGGAGGCGAGTGAAACGACCTGCACGAGTGTCATGCAGCAAAGCTAGAAACAGAACCCATGTCTCCCAAATCCCAGTGTAATGTCACTTAGCGGAAGAAACAGCCTCCCAACAGGGAATCAGCTAAGATCATTGACTTTCCAAACCCTACTAGCAAGGAGTCTGGAGAAGCATTCAGAAGTCCCGATACTTCCCTGAACCTCCTAGCTGGAAGAGAGATAGAGGTCAGGCTGAACTACTGCTATGGTTTCTCTTTACTGAAAAAAAGAAGAAAACAAAACAACCCCACAACACCTCACACACACACACACTTTTTTCTTCTTTTTTAAAACTAAAACCCTAATGGAGACACAGCCCTGTAGTTTTCACTTCAATGCAGGTAGCTAAAGAAAACCCTAAGCTCCATTATACAGATGTAAGAAGGCTTCTTAGGATTCATTAGAACCTTAAAAAAAGGGAGACAGCCCAATAACGCTTTCAATGCAAAACCATGTTGATACAAACAAAAACCAAAAAAGCAGGCTCATTTGAGAGACTGCCAAGGCTTCCTTTTTGCCACAAAGGCAGTTCTGCCCTTGTGAACTACGAACAAGCAGGGGAGCTGAAGTAGAACTCAAGAATGCAGCGGGCGTAAGACTAGGATCAATACAACTCCAAGGTTTTAGACTCTCCAGAGTCAAGCAAGTTGTTTTTAGTTTCATCCAAGTTATTCCATCAATTCTTAGCAATCATTCGGCTCCCAGCCAACATTAGATCCATCTCAATTATTTTTCCATGAGCTGCAAGAGGCTTTTGAACTTCGGTCAAACATTATTGCAGCTTGAAATTCTAGTCCTTTTAATTTTCTTCTCTACTCTGGTAAAAACCTCACCCCTATTTGCAGCCATAGAAACACAGTTTAGCACTTTGCTCCAGTAGGATACAATTAAAACAAAACACACCACACCATTCCCCTACCACCATCCCTACTCATTAGCTTCAGGAAAGCCATAACAGCCTACCTTCGGCCCAAAGCAATGCTATGGGCTCAACCTGCTTCCAGTGTTGGCAATATCAGGGTGAGAGAGGATGTGCACCATTTTCAAACATGGCAGAATATTGGAAAGGTCTGTTAGCACATAGACAATCAGATTTTAGCAGGAGCATGTTAAATAAGCAGAACAGTCACTGACACTAAGCATATGATGCTCAGTGGGTGACAGTGTTAAGGAAGTGCCAGTTGCCATCCAGGAGCCATTGCTGAAGACGCCAGCTTCACAATTTATATTACCATATTCTCTCACACATACAACACAACTTTTCCAGCAGCTGTTTTGGTTAAGATTTCAGTGCACATGATGATATGGGAGGACCAGGCAAAAGCAAAAAAAGTAAAGCCTGCACACAATCTGCAAAGAGCAAAGCTCGAGCTGGCTCAGCTCCCTAGCTGCTGCTACCCGGAAAAGACCTCTCTCGTCATTCTACCTTCGGGGCGGGGGGGGACAAACAAAGGTGCATCTGATTCAAAGCACATCGCATGGGAGAAAATGTGGTATATGGATACATGGCAAGAACTCATGAGAGTGACCTATAGGTGAAGTGACCTCACTGTGAAGCAGGCTAGCAGCAGTAGCTCATTGCAACAGAAAATTCTGCACCCTGGCAAGGCGACTGCCTACCAGGCTTTAGTGGCACAGCTCAAGCTACCAAGCATTTCCAGAGAAGGATGCCTCAAAGTACTCACGTGAAGAGACAGAGGGAACAGCAATGCCCTCTTGCAAGGCAGGACAGCCAGAGCTGGCACACAGCACCATCACTGCTCTAGACAGCCTTCAGGTGTCCTCTCTCACCTAAGATCACAGGACCAGAGTCCCAACAAGCAGAACCCCAAGCAATGCCAGTACCCCTTACAGTTGGTTTTAATTAACAGCAAGATAACACTGTTAGCATTAATGTTTGGCCCATGTCAGGTCAAAGATCTAACCAGAATAGGTGGCCTCTTGGGCTACTGGTAGGGCATGCCAGTTTTTACAGCCAACAGTGTGCAAGGGAGTGACACATTACATCTCATCTAGGATTCTTTTGGCTGTGGTGACAAAGGAGGCATCTGCAGCTGGATGAACTGTAGGAAGAGGAGAAAGGCAGCCTCCAGCACCAACTCTGGAGCCAGGCTTCAACTCAGACCCCTTGATCTATAGCAAGACATCAACTCCAGCTACCCAAGGTAGTTAGTTATTCTTTTCTAACTGATGGGAAAACCAGAGGCACAGAGGTCCCACTGTGTGGCTAACCACAATCAAGTGTTCCTATTGCAGTTTTAGTTAAGCCTTTTTTTTTTCCTAACAAACACATTGCCAAGTAGGAATAGCAGCAAGGAAGATTTTGGGTGGAGGCGTGGGAAAGAGTAGAGAAGGGAGAGATATGCATACATAGAGGAGCTCTTAATTTTCCTTAAGCCACAAACAGAAAGTTTCATTTTATGGGAACTGGAACTGGGGAGAATGATAATCACTTCCAACCACACTGGGTTAGATAGAAAAAAGGTAAGGGTTAGCACTTACTTGTCTTGCGGCCCCGAGGAGTCAATGGGCTCGTATATGTACCAGTCATTGCTGGAGAAGTCATCATAAGCGAAGGAGTCCTGGCTCATCAGGGAACTATTATTTGCCATCTCCCTCTCTCTCAGCCTTCACTAAAGGGAAAGAAGAGAAAGATTTCTTGCCTGCTGTTCCTTAGAGACAAAAAGAAACTTTATCCACAAATCCTCTTTCAAGCATCTTCTCTGGATCTTTCCAGAGTCCATTCAAGATATTAATATTAAAAGGAAAAAACGTTATGGTCTGGGTAGCACACTTTTGCTCTCTGTCCCCTTGTGAAACTATGGTTGTACACCCCTTCGACAGCTGATGGACCTAAAAGGAGAAAGGGGGAAGATAAAAATAGAAATAAAAATTAATCTCTGCAAAAGGAGACACCTTGATTTGAAATACAGAGATTAAAGAACTCAGACACGGCTTATCAGAGTCCTCTCTCCTCCTTCACCACACCTACCCAGCCTCAAGATGCTGATAGACTTGGAGCTTGCATTTAGGCTGCTTACTGGCATTAACATGAATGCTCAGAGGCAGCACAAGGGTCAAGATTAGGCTTCCTGGCAAGATGCAGCTAACCTACAAAAGAAATAAAGGAGGCCTGTGAAGTAACTGTACGCAGGACTGGGCATTTTAAGCCTCTGACCCACATAGTGCACGGATATGCCAGTTGGAAACAGTTCCCTCCCAGCTGATGCTGCATCTCCACTGCTTTAAAACTTCCCTCAAATAATGTCCCCAGGCTCCAAAACATCTCAAAGGATTTCTGAGATCAAAGTAAAGGGGAAGGAGAATAACCTGCCTTATTGCCAAAGCTTGCAGAACCACAGAAATGCAGGCCTGGCTGCAAGACCATGGCAGACCCTGTTCTTCACATTGAATGAAAAACTTATGCAGAGACAAAGCCAACAGCTGCTCCATGAGGATTTAAAGGACACTGAAGAGATAACAGATATCCAGACAGAGATCTCCCTCTCTGCATTACTCCAATAAAGTAACTCCATTCACCTGAGTAAGGTAGGACTCCATCCCCCTGCCCCCTGCCGATTCCTACGGAAATAAGCATTTTGCCCTAACTGAGAAGTCTGACAGACATCAATGTGGAAAAGGAGAGAGAAAGAAAAATCAATGTTTTTCCAGAGTTGGGAACATAATAAAAAAGGGGGAAGTCTAGTCGTGTAAATAAAAGCAGCTTGGATTTCAGAAGGGCTATATATTTTGCGATCAGTGGGATCTGCAGAAACTCCACAGCCTTATTCAAAAAACTTCATTTTAGGATGCAGGTTTGAGCATGCTCTTAATATGATCCCTGGACCCTTATTTCTTCCCTGCCCCCACCAGATTTTCCAAGGGGAGGGGAGTGGAGGGGAAGGAATACTTGACAACTCTCCCCCAAAATGTTGTTTGCCCTTACCGGCAATAGGTCTCCTAACCCACCACCTCACTTCAGTAGTAATAAATTCAACAAACCAAGAGTTTTCCAATGCATTTCACCAGCCTAGTCATCTATGAGACTCCCCCACCTCCCCGGTTCCCATAGCCACAGAATCCAAGCACCTCACTCAGTCTTGGATGCACTTCATCCCGATAACATGCCCCAGAGATGGGGAGCAGGAGGGGGACAAAAGTAAGTGAGAAATAGCACTGCCTCACCCCCATTTTAACGCTAACAAAGCAGACATACTGGCAAGTTATCCAATTTACCCAAGGTCACAAAGGAGGTCTGCGGAAGAGCAGGGAAACCTGAGAGCATTTAGTTAGAACTAAGATATGACACTTATTCACAGACTGGACTTCCGCCAAGATAAATTTAACATCCCCAAGATGTGTTTTTCTTTTTGTTCTTCTAGCTTGTTCAAAACAAAAACCAGAAGGACTGGAAATGCTCCAAAGAAGCCAGATTGAACCTGGTCAGGTTCAGACACAAACTTTGGTGAAAAAAAAAAAAAAAAAAAAATAAGGGTTTTT